CACTATTGGTGGTATTGGCACCATTCAGATTAGGATGAGTGACGGAGTGATTCGGGAGTTGGTTAGAGTGAGGTTTGTTCATCAGTTGAAGAAGAACATCATTTTACTTGGAGCTTTGGAGGCAGCAGGCTATAGGGTGACATTGACAGATGTACGTTTGAAGGTTACATTTGGGTTCATGATTGTGATGAAGGGCGTCAGAAGGAGTAACTTATACTATTTGCTTGGGAGCACGGTGATTGATAGAGCGCTGACGACTTCTTTGGCTAGACTGTGGCATTGTTTGGTGATAGAGCGCTGACGACTTCTTTGGCTAGACTGTGGCATTGTTTGGTGCTGGGATATATGATTGGTGATGTCGTGCATAAGTTGTTGAGGAGTGCTTTGACCTGCAGATGGAAGTCCTTTGAGCACATTGGGATGATCAAGACCGTGGTGGAGTTAGGCACTTCTATCCATCGAGCGAGGGGTCTTTTAGGAGGTGTTCAGTCAGGCATTTGGGGGCCTTCCAAGGAGGCATCATTGGAAGGTAATCATTTTGTAGTTTCCGCAGTTGGTGATTGTTCTAGGCATTATTGGGTCGCGACCAGTTCCCGTTGGTGTAAAGTCCTAGCAGTCAATAACAATTAGAAGAAGTGTATTGGTAGAAAGGTAACTCATTGTTCTAGCTTTGGTAGGGGTCCTTTCTTACGTTTGTGCCGAGCTCATGACAACTTAAAACACTTCATTGATGTGGAGACTTTGGGGCGACGAGATGAGATGACAGTTTTGATGAGTCGTTCCTTTCTGGAGGAGGATCGGCGTTGGTTGTCGAGCAATGGTTTTGGTTCTGGAGTTTCGACATATTTGGGTCATCTTAGTCATAGGTCGTCGACTGCTACATTAGGAGTTATTAGATCTGGTGGAGCTGCTTCAGATTTTGGTTGGCGTCGGATATTTGGTTACCCAGTATTTGGTCACATTGAGGATGTGAGATTTGATCTGATTGCGTGTTTGGGATTCAGAGGCTCATTTGATTATCGTTTGAGAGCTTCTGATTTTGTTCTGAGCTCACTTTTGACTCTCAGCAGGTGGAGAGTGTTGATCAGGTCATTTGGATATCGCAGTAGGTGGAGGGTGATGCTACTTCACGTTGGGTGGAACTTATTCCACATACTCTAAATCATACTGCGTCATTTAGGATTCTAGCTGAGGTGGCACAGGTTAGGGATCATTTGATTTCGGATACAGATTATGGATTGGTTTTGGATTTGGTTGCAGCTGGTGGACATGATTTGGATACGCCCATTAGTTCATCTCAGATGGAGGTGTTTGATTTGTATCAGTTTGGGACCGCTATCAGTTACAGATCCGTTGGCAATATTAGGGAAGAGTTGCAGACTTTTCTATTTGATTGAGGGTCTTTAGAGGCCGTTTGGGTGAACTACGTGAAGGCTTGATTCATTGGGCAAGAGGATACGTAGGCAGTCTTTATGATGTAGCCGATTTGGTGAGTAGATACCGACGTTTGGGTGAGTGTTCACACTCCCGTTTGGGTCTCGACTTGTTAAGGATTGAGAAGCAGCAAGTGAGGCATTTGGCTTGGTTGGTATCGGCTCAGTTTTGGTAGAAACTTCGCCGAGGTGGAGAATTGAAGAAACCGCGAGAAGTTTGGTAAAGAACACGTGTTGGAAGAGCTCAGGGTTCTGTTTGGGAGCTGCATGGTCGACTGCGATGCAAGACCGGTCGACCGCGATCGTGCACGGATCCAGGATTTGTGCCTGGACTTGGCACGGTCAACCGTCAAGGTCGACCGCCGGACCCTGTAGGCGATTTATGGTCTTTGTCGTTGGATCACGGTCGACCGCGAGATTGGGGGCGGTCGACCGCGAGATTGGGTGCGGTCGACCGTCAATCAGTGTTGGGTCCTTTTGTTTTGATGATGATTTACAAATAATTTACATCTAATATTATTTGTCTAGTGTTTATGATTTGTATCTATTCTAGGCAAACAATAAGTTGGAGGATGGATGGAATAGAGTTTCAACGATCATATCAAATGGAGGTTGGCGGAATTGTGGAGTGAAGCCTTGCAATTCAAGTTAAAGATTCAAGTTCAGCTTCATCCGTAAGTGCACCAAGATAGAGCTTCGTTGAAGATCACAAGCTTGGGTATAATTTAGTTTAGGTTTTATATTATGTGTGTGTAGGCTGTCTAAAAATCACAATAGATAGTTAATCCCCCATCAAACACCGATGATGGAAGTTACAATCTGACGACTTCCAGAATGCTACAATTTGAGTACTTTCACGTAGAAGGTTACAATCTGACGACCTTCACAACAACTAATGAAAGCCCCAATTCAACAGCCTTCACAATTAACATCGGGAGTTACAATCTGACGACTCTCATATTTTCAAGGAGCCAAGACGAAGTTTACAAGAGGACGATCTGTACAAAGCTCTAGCAAAAGAGACTATAAATTGACGGTCTCTTCATATTAGAATGCAGATATCTCTCAAACCGTAAGGAATTTGGCAAAACGGAGGAAGCGAACCGAAGCCTTCGGCTTGGTTCGGATGGCCCCGTCTCGTCGAGATAGCCGATTTTCATATGTAATTCGTCCAATTCCGACGTACGGTTTGAAAGTTATGACCTGTTCTTCGTAGCAAGTAATGTTCTGAAGACCGTCTGCAAGACTGGACTTCGTCAGAACATTGGACTTAGCCTGAAGCCCGCCAAGCCCGCCTAAGGTTCGCCTCTGCATTACAGAGTCAAAGCGTACATGCTCAACTCTGTGTTTTCAACATCAAAACGCAGAGTTAATCGCTAAAACAGCACAACTGCGCGTTTTCAGCCTTTAAACAGGCTCCCGCCTAAGGTTCGCCTCTGCATTACAGAGTCAAAGCGCACATGCTCAACTCTGCGTTTTCAACATCAAAACGCAGAGTTAATCGCTAAAATAGCACAACTGTGCGTTTTCAGCCGTTAACAGGCTCAACTCTGCGTTTTCAACATCAAAACGCAGAGTTAATCTCTAAAACAGCACAACTCGCAGAGTTAATCTCTAAAATAGCACGAACTGTGCGTTTTCAGCCTAAAACAGGCTTAACTCTGCGTTTTCCAGCAGACATCTAACTCTGTGACGCAGAGTTAAAGCACAAACGCACACATAACGTGCGTTCTTCAACAAACTCAACCATGCGTCCCAAACTCATGATGCAGAGTTGAATTTCAACGCACAAGCTACCTGTGCGTCTCCAATTCCAGAACGCATGCGGCCTGTGCGTTTCAAACCTTTGACAAAGGTTTAACTCTGCGTCTCAGGCCTTAGACGCAGAGTTAAGGCCCAGAACGCCGTTTTTAGCGTTTGACTCGTTCAAGCACGCAATGAACAGTTCCAGGAACTGTTTTTCCCCACGATTTGAGGGATTTTCGCCCCACTTAAGAGCGGATTAAGGGGGTAGTTACCACCCAAAATCCCCTATAAATAGTGGGAAACTCAACTGAGTTCGGAGCCTTCTTTTTGGGGGGCAGCAAAGAAGCGATCTGCGGCTAGCTTGGGGATCGAATTTTTTCCCATCAACAAAGGGAGATTCGGTCAAAAGGTTGTCATACTTTGGATCTGGGACTTGGCAACAACAGAGGGCTTTTGGAGATCAACGACTTGAAGGAGCTCTTGAATCATTTTGGAAGGCTTTTATTGAAGCCTTTGAAATTATTCGGCCTTGGCTTATAACCGACTTTCGGTTCAAATCAACTCTTTTTCAAGAGTTCAAACTCGTTCAGAGTTATCAACTCGATCAGAGTTCAAAAAACTTGCTCTGCAAGTTCTTCTAAAACTCGATCAGAGTTCAAAACTTGCTCTGCTCAATCAGAGTTTAAAACTTGCTCTGCAAGTTCTTCTAAAACTCGTTCAGAGTTATCAACTCGTCAAGAGTTATTTTCCAAAACTTGCCACGCAAGTTCTCCACAGCGTCAAATCGTGAGGAGAAAATCACGTTCCAGTGAATCAAGACGTTCGGATCGTCAACGAGAAGCAAACTCGACGCGAGCATTCGAGGGAGGCATCTCATCGCCACCGTGAAGAACCCAGAATTAAACAAAGGGGAGAATCAAATTCATTCTCCTCTCTTTTGTAATCGGAATCCAAATTGTAATTGATTTTGAGAGGAATACAAGTCAAATTTTCTTTCATTGTCTTTTTACTACAAATTTCCAACAAACAGGACGTGAAGAACCCAGAATTAAACAAAGGGGAGAGTCAAATTCATTCTCCTCTCTTTTGTAATCGGAATCCAAATTGTAATTGATTTTGAGAGAAATACAAGTCAAAATTTTCTTTCATTGTCTTTTTACTGCAAATTTCCAACAAACAATAATTTGCTAATATTGGTCCAATTTTATCCAAACATAATTTTCCTCTAAATGAGACTGGGATTAAACCTAGCTAGCCTCACTTTGTAAGTTGCAAAACATGCCTTAAACATTGACAAATTTTGACAAATTCTATCGCGTTTTTAGTTTTTTTATATTTGACAAACATGTCATTTTCAAGTATTATTATATCATCACCTAACCCCCAATATCGTCTGGTGGTTCAAATTTCTAGTTACAGACTTACAGTACACACATGAAGAAAGAGACTGGCAACCATCAAAGCATGGTCCAAAACATTAGGTAACAATATAGGAGACGCGCCAAGCATGCAAGACAACAATATAAAAGGAAAATAACAATATACAACGTCTAACAACAGCAACAAATACCCTATCCTAAATCTTCTTAATTATCATTGTCATGCTCTTCTTAATTGTTTCTATCCAAGTTTTATTAGGTCTATCTATAGTTTTTTCTCCATTATCATTCCCCCTAATTGTTGCATTTTATCCTCCACAGAGGCAACCCCCTACTTACTCTTAATGCACTCTTTTCTGATCTTATCCCTTTGTGTATATCCACTTGTTCAATGTAACATTTTTCTTTTTTGCTATACTCATATTTTTGCACATGTTGATTTCTAATTGTCTAACATTTTGATCCATAAAGTAATATTGTCGGCTGTATAAATATCCTATAAAAATAAGAATGTAATAATGATATAAAGAAATCAGAGGAAAGTAAATATAGCCAGAAATACATGTCATAGACGTTTATATGCTCAAAATGACCTTTCAATCTTTGAGAGGTAAAGGTACATGCTAATAAACGCCAGATATACTATTCATGAGGAATGTTGTAGGTACATAAAATAAATGACTAATATGGAATATGTACATGTTGATACATATTTTGTAAATTATGAACATACGTGTATGTATATGCATATATAAATAAAGATTAATTAATGGGTATCCTTGACAAGGAGAGGATTTCCCTCATTGACAATGATATTACACAATCCCCACCATGTGCACCATGTGAATGAGAGAGAATAAAGTAAGAGAGAGAATTTTACATGATGAGGATTGTGTCACATCATTGTCAAGAATCGAGGGAATCCATCTCCTTGTCAAGGATACCCATTACTTTCATACAAATATATACACAAGTATACTATATATAGACACTCGCATAAAATAGAACTTATCCAATTTGTGTTTTAAACTTAAACGTATACAATAGATTATTCCTAGATTTTTGATTCTTTGAGACTTGTATAGTCTTTGGAACATCTAAAGTATTTTCCTTTAAAAAAAATATATGTTTGGAGTAGTTATAATAAAAATAAACGTTGTTAACCATCCAATGAAGCTAACATACCTTGCAAACAGAGAACAAATAAGGATGAAGAGACTTGGGGTAACATCCAAAACCAAAAGCATCCGCATCAACTCCCTCCTCTTCTCCAAGCAACTCCTCTAACCCTAATGCTTTCTTCTCCTCCTCCATAAAACCCGTGTAAAACCCACCAACCACCTTCAACTCCCTCGCCGCCACCACCTCCACCTCCAAATACTCCTTCAAGAACCCTTCCACCATCACCCTCGGCATCCTACTCACACAAACCCTCTTCTTCCCTCTCCTCATCGTATCAAACCCTTCAAACCCTAATTCCTCGATCAGATACTTAGGCAACACAGACCTCCCTACTCTAAACTTGTCTTTTTTTAGCCCACAAAAAGAAACCAAAACCATAGCTCTAATCGCACTCTCCTCGCCTAAACAACATAGCAATGGATAGAGGAGCAAGAGGAGGAAGCCTCTTATGAGCCCTCCTCCTTCCAAGGCGACGAGCATGAAGTATGGAAAGAGAGATGATGATCTTAGAAGCCCACCCTCGACGTCGAACACTAGGGTTTTAGTCACAAGCTTGTCGTGACAAGAGTATTTATGTAGCTTTATATGAGATGCGTGGGTGTGACTTTTGTGTCTCCTCCGGATGAAACGGTAGAAGGAGAGCAAGGACTTGGTTAATGCCTTGGAAGCCATTTTGGGGACAAATGATGGAGCGATGTCAAAGATGCACATATATTTATAAGTATAGGAGTTGTCCAAAGAACCTTATGTTTCGATAGAATCACGGCAGAGCCATCCATCCACCAAAAGCGGAAAGACCGGTTGGCCAGAATGGGGAAAGTGAAAACTTGAAGGAGTTGACAGCGTCCGATGGCCCACCTTAATCTAATTTTGTTGTTTATGACCCGTGATGACACATATGGCTTTTGTAAAAACCCCCGAGACAAGTAAACTAATAATTGATGAAATCATTGAGAAGTACCGCTCGAGTTTAAGTGATGGCAGGGATGTAAAATTGCCGAAAGAGGAGGGGCGTTTACTTGGGCCAACTTGGGTTACGGGTGGTAATTGGTAGTTATCTGCAAGAAATGTAGTTGATGGGAGCCAATACAGTGTACCACTGGAAATATAGCGGATGGGGGCCAATACAGTGTACCACTGGATCCGGATCATCTTTTCGGCGCTTTGAAAATTGTACCGTCCAGTGTACAAATCATAACTGTTTGCAAACGAATCGTATTGATTATTTTTCGTAGCTTCTCTAGAAATTAATGCATTGAATTGTTCAATGCTAAATTTGTTGGTTTTGGAAGTGTGAAGTCCGAAACATAAAACAATACCGTGACTCTGGAAATTTTCGGGTCGGTCGACCAACA